GCTGAATACAGAGCCATTGCATCCACTACTTGTGAAATCCAATGGTTGCTGTACTTATTTGATGATTTCAAACTTCCTCACACTTCACCTGTGCTTTTATACTCTGACAGCAAGTTTGCTATTGCTATTGCAACTAACCCAGTGTTCCATGAGAGAACAAAACATATACAAATTGATTGCCATCTTATTAGGGAAAAAGTTGCTCAAGGTCTCATCAAACTTCAGCACATTGACACCAAGGAGCAGATATCAGATGTTTTGACCAAGGCATTACCAGGCCCTAGCTTCTCTTATTTGATTTCCAAGCTTAATATGCATAATATACATGTTAAGCTTGCGGGGGGGTAATAAGATTATAGTTTATTATAAAAGTTGCTATTTAGTTTTTATTGTAAAGTTGTTGTCCTATAAACAACAACTATAGGTTCTTGTAATTTTACTTTCATACCCTTGTGTAACCCTAAGTATAAATAGGGTTCATCCTCTGTATTCAAGACACTTTTCCACATTTTTCCTTTTCAATACAAGTTAAGCTTTCCTTTTCTCTCTCTCGTGTTCTTCTGTAAATTCATACAGAATCCTTAGTTTCAATTCTAATAGAGATCGAGGAGTGGGTGACGTTGATGAACTCCGACAATGGCGACTCATCGGATTATGTTAATGCCGGAGATAATAATCTCCGTAATATGTAACGTTGGTGTCGAACATGTACAATACGAGGTTTGGGTTGTTATTCGTGGATAAAAATCGAACATAACTTTTTGTTGTATTTTGGGTTGGAATCAGTAATGTAATCCCTCCATTTATATTAATTCAAAACATGCTGAGCCTAACTGACATATTTTCATGCTTCGGATGCTGACACGACAAAAATCTATACTCATAATGTTGTTTATTTATTGATTTTTTCTCTGGAGTTAGGCTTAGGCATAAATAACTTTTTTTAAAATTTAATTGGTAAGTGTATATTTAATTTTGTTATTTTTTTTTTTTTTTTGTCAGTACACATCTCCTTCTTAGTTTGGGCAAGTAGCAATCTTACCATATTATAATTTCTGATTATAATTTCTCCTATATTTATTTCTTAAATTACAATTTACAAATCACTTGTCTATTCTTCTCATTTTTTTCATTAGTCCATCAAAAATTTTAAACAAAAAATTTATTTTAATATAACTTTTATCATATATTTCTTAATTCAATACTGTGTAGTACACATGTATTGTACTAGTGTGTTTCTGAAAGTGGAACGATGATTCTGATAGAAAGCAAGCAAGCGCGATGGACTAAGTAGTCGTCGTAGTTCGTTTTAGCTTTTTCGATATTCCTATTTTAGCTTTTTTAGTTAGTTTTTATTTCGTTTACGCTTTAAGACCTTTATATAAGTCTCTAAGACATTGTAATATGACGGTCTTCGAGACTTTATATTCAATTTTTATAATATATCTTTCTTGCATAACAAAAATATATTTGTTTGTCTTCTATACTGTCGCGTGTTAAGATGTAAGCGTAATTAAACTAGTAGTAAAACCTTTTCTCTCTGGTAGCTTTTGTTTTAAGATTAGGTTTGGTTTACAGGGGTTCTGATTTGGGAAAACTGTTTGCTATTGTGTTTTTGCGCATTTGCTCCTTTCGGATCGAAAATCGAATCAAAAGCCCTAGTTTTGATTATTTTTTGAAAGTTGTAAAACTATTTTTATTTGCACTTATTATACAAAATGCATATGTATCAATCTATTTATTTATTTTGCTATAATGGGTACAAGATAAAGAGAGCTCATGCTATTCGAGCTCTTAATGGACCAGTAATTGAACTGGCTTTTTTTTTTTTTATCAAGATTGACTAACAGAGTTCGAATTTTAACTAAGCAAACACAAACTCGAGTCTTAACGAGTTGTACATAAAATAACTATATAAAATCTCTATTAGTGAGCCTTAACGACTCTTATCCAGTCGAGATGATCCTAACACATTAAGTAAACAAGCTGTGAACGAGTTTGAACAAAAAATTCAAACTAGGCTCGAGTCGAGTCGACTTAATAAACTCACGTATTTTTTTTTTATTTAATTGTTTGTCTTGTACAGCTCTAGCTACAATAAGGATAAATGGGTCCCAATATAATCCAAAATAATACTGTACAATTCACAAGTTTTTTAAGAAAAAAAAAAAAAATGAAATAAGATGGATAACAAATAATTAATAAGGTTATCTTATCAAGTATCAACCACAGCTTGTGAAAAAATTAATCAACTATGAAGGAAGCACGTGCTGAAATTGAACTACCGAACTAATACTGTAGTTCAACTGTGCATATTTAACATGTGCCTATATAAACCTCAACACACATTTAGCATGTGCCCATTATATATGTGGAGTTTGTGATATTCCCACGAGTATTAAATAATTTTTTAACATTATAGATTGAATTGATTAATAATTTTTTAAAAATTAAAAAGTGATCCACCAAGCAATTTTTTTTTGTATTTCTCCAAATAAAATTGCATGCGCACTAATAGTAGTAGTTTATTTATGTTATATATTTGTTTGTTTATTTATTTATTTATTTTTTACTTGAAATTCATATAAGAGTAATGCTCACATACTCACGATGGGCATATGATAATAAGTCCACCGCTTATGTGGCATGCACACATTGGTGATGTTAATATGTTCAAAAAAATACATCACCAATGAGTGCATGCCACATAAGCGGTGGAAATATTAATATGTGTGTATTTAATTATTTATGTATATGTCATTGTCAATTTGCCTAATGGTTGAAAAAATGTACTATAAACAAATTTAAATACTTTCGTATTAAATGTAATATTTTAAAAAGTAACATAAATAAAAGTGACATTGCACAATTGTATATTTTTATTAAGAAAGTACATATGATTGTAATGCATTGCTACATCAAAATTTGCATATATATACATATATATCAAATAATTGATGTGCTAGCATACATATATATATATATATATGTACTATATTTACAATTTTATGCATCAGTTGTTATTCTTAATTATATTATATATATCAATACTTAATTAAGTGTTCATTAGGTATTTACTATTTAGTGAATGCAAAAATGTTTTGAGAAATTGTTGTGGTCAAGTCGATCGATAATATGGCAAAACTATTTACGTGTATATATTGTATATGTGCAAATATTTTGAGTAGTTTGCTTACTTTTACTAATAAAATATAATAATAATAATAATATACATGCAATTATTTTTTAATTTAGGTCGATTATAGGGTAATTACTCCAAAAAATTATCCAACAAGTTAAAATATGTAATAATCTATATATATATAACCAATTGCTTCCATCAATTGCTGGGCCTAAACTATGCTAGCAACTGGGCCTTACACCAAAATGATATCAATAAAAAGAGCCCAACTTGTTAACTGTTAAGCTTTTCAGACTTGTCCATCATCTTCCCATTAGATCAATATAATGTTGGCTATTTTACATGTTTCTTTTTTCTTAAACTCTTCAAAAATGTACGAATTGCAAAATAAAATTATTCAAAAATCATTTATAAACTAGACATAAACAAATAAAATAATGCAATAAGAAATCAATAATAATAATAAATTAGAAATCAACCATCCGTAAAATTTAAAAGTTAGAATATTTTTAATTAAGCAAAAAACATCGTAAATATAAAAATATAATGAGTTTTGAAGGTAAATAGTGCAGTTTTCTAATAATGCTTTCCTTCAATCCATTATCTTCCTGTTAACTTTTACAGGTAAGGTTCTTAATTTAGAGCAGTTAAATTAAACGAACGGCTCGACTCGGCTTGGCTCGTTAAGGTTTGAGCTCGAGTTCATTTAAAGCTCGTTTGGTTAACGAGAGGAACTTGACTCGTTCGATAAGACTCGAAAATATGATTTTATTATTTTTAATTTTCTATTGGTTGACTCGTTATAGCTAGATTTTGCCTCGTTAAGACTCAAGCTTGACTTGTCAGTATTGATAAACGAGCCATGCTTGATCTCGAGCTCGAGCAACATGAGTTCGAGTTGTATGAGTTCAAGCTCGGCTCAACTCGTTTACAATCTTAGTTCATTTTTTTTTTCTTTCAGAAACTAAAATCTAAATCGGTACGATTTAAAAATCGAGAATCCGAATAAAGTCGGGAATAGAAGCATAACAATCGAGAACCAAAAGAATTAGTTAATAAAAAATAAAAGGCGTATTTTCGGTCAAGCTCGACAGTGATATAACACCCAAAATACTTTAGTGGATCGACCTGAGTCGTAAGCTAGGGTAAGGCCGGTCCAAAGGAGCATTAGCTTGTTTTCAGTACTTAACCTCGTAAGGGAGCACTGGCTTGAGCGTCAGATGTTTTTCTGTAGGGACTTCTTCCCGACGTATTATAGGTCACTGGAGTTCGAGACAGAAGACACTTCGTATCAGATAGTCTGGGTCAATAGAATATTCCAAACTTAGAAATCCGCGATGTATACTTCGTCGGTAAGGTGGTGCAACTTGTTCACATCAAACCTTAAATTTACGTGTTTACATATAAAAATGAAAATATATTATAAATTAGTATTCTTAGATAGGTCTTAACTCAATAAACTAGTATTGGATATAATGCTAAACTGATGTAACATCTAAAATTAATTCGATTGAAATAGTGACTTTATCGAAATTCTATAATATTTCATAAATCAAAGAGACTCGGTAAAAAAAAAAAAATATCTCAAATCAATGTGTATAACAAAATTAGCAACAAAATATTTTAAACCTATCTAATATTACTTTATTTCATTTTATTTATTAATGTTATAGTTTAATTTTACTTCATCAATAAGTTGCTTAGCTACATTGAGTTGAGAAAGCGTGGGCAAAAAAAACCACGATTTTAACCCGTTTACATAAATAAAGCAAATTGATCTTCCTTTTTTGCCCCTTTGTCCTTTCCTTCATTACCAAGCAAATGACACGTGGCTGCATCATTTCAACGCCAGCTGGTGTCAGATTTATTCTCTCTCTATAAAAACCCGACCGCTTCCAAAAAACTGCCCACTTTCTCTCTCTAAAATCTCTCAAAATCAACGCCTTTCGAACCCTTCAAAATTCAAAATTATCCAAATTTCGCATTTTCATTTTCATTTTCTCAAATTATCCGATAATTTTTTCCGGTCAATCGGACCACCGTCGCGCCACCACCATGGGCGGTTCGCAAAGCCGAGAGGGACTCGAACTTTCGGATTCGGAATATTCCAGCAACGGCGAGGAGGAGGAGGAGGAGCAGCAAGAGGCAGAGTACGCCGATGCAGAGGATCGCACCCCACAGTCGAGTGCCGAAACCCTAGACGATCTGGATTCGAGGCTGCGGGCATTGAAATTGAAGTACCAGAAAAGCCCCGCCACCGCCTCTCGGAAACCTAACGCCGGCCTCGAGAACGCAGTGAAGCTCTACCTCCACATCGGTGGAAACACGCCCAAAGCGAAGTGGGTGGTGTCGGAGAAGCTGAGCTCTTATGGTTTCGTCAAGATGCTGAAAATTGATGGCGACGAGGAGTACGATGAGGATGAATTGGGCCGCGGTGAAGGATTTTGGGTATTGAAAGTGGGGAGGAAAATTAGGGCTAGGGTTTCGACTGATTTGCAGATGAAGTTTTTCGGAGACCAGAGGAGGGTCGATTTCGTGGACGGCGGTGTTTGGGCTTTGAAATTCTTCGCGGACGGGGATTACAGGAGCTTCGTCACTAAATTCCAGGATTGTTTGTTTGAAAATGTGTATGGATTGAAACCGACAGAGGAAAATAAGGTGAAAATTTATGGGAAGGACTTTCTGGGATGGGTGAAGCCCGAGGATTCGGATGATTCAATGTGGGAGGATGCAGATGCCGGCGAGTGGAGAAGTACCGATAAGGCCCGTTCAATGGAATTTTCAGACAGGGAGAGCCAGGACTTGCTTAAGGAGTTTGAGGAGGCTGCTGTGGGTGGCGGCATCCAGAGCCTGGCCCTCGGGGCACTGGATAACAGCTTCTTAGTCAGTGACTCGGGAGTTCAGGTCGTGAAGAATTTCAGCCATGGGATTCACGGCAAGGGAGTGTATGTAAAGTTCAACGACCAGAAAGTGGGAGGCCCGGGAACTCCCAAGAAGGCACTTTTGATGAGGGGGGAGACGAATATGATGCTCATGAGCCCCCTCAAGGAAGGAAAGCTTCAGTCTCCCGGGCTTCTCCAGATGGACATCGAAACCGGAAAAATCGTCACAAATTGGAAGTTTGAGAAGGATGGTGCAGATATAACCATGAAGGATATCACTAGCGATTCGAAGGGTTCCCAGCTGGACCCATCTGAGTCGACCTTCTTAGGATTGGACGACAATCGTCTTTGCCAGTGGGATATGCGGGATAAGAAAGGGATGGTTCAGAAGATGGCCAGTTCAAGTTCAGGCTCGCCTGTACTTCACTGGACTCAGGGGCACCAGTTTTCGAGGGGGACTAATTTCCAGTGTTTTGCCACGGCTGGGGATGGTTCTATTGTGGTGGGGTCTCTTGATGGGAAGATAAGGCTTTACTCGAGGACTTCTATGAGGCAAGCGAAAACCGCCTTCCCAGGGCTCGGCTCACCCATTACGTCAGTTGACGTGACATATGATGGGAAGTGGGTGTTGGGCACGACCGACACGTATTTGATCTTGATATGCACATTGTTCACGGATAAGGATGGGAAGACAAAAACTGGTTTCGAGGGGCGGATGGGGAATAAGATACCTGCTCCAAGGTTGCTGAAGCTGACTCCTGTGGATGCGCATTTGGCTGGGGCAGATAATAAGTTCCATGCAGGGCATTTCTCCTGGGTGAGTTTGAATGTGAATTAATTAAATTGTCTTTTTATAGCTTCCTTTGTTTTTGTTGTGATGTGATTGTTTGCTATATGACCTGATAACTGTTGTGTGTGTGATAGTTGTTGGTAATGTGCATTTGATGTGTGTGGGCTTGCCTTTTGAATTCATCTGGTGCTTCGTGTGTTCTTTTTTTTTCTCTCCCCTCATCATAAGGAATTGCTGGTTGAATTTCATTGGGTTTTGGTATTATCATGTTTGTTTGCCTGTCACATTGAATAAATTGTGAGGATATTGGTATCACTGGGTCTGAGGTTTAGTTTTGAAACTAAAGCTAATTAAATTTGAAATAAACTTGCAAATTAATAATGTAACTAGACAAACCATTGTCATGAGCGCAATGAAGCTTTTTCTGAAAATAATCTTAAGACAAGACCCAAAAAGATACAAAAAGGAGAAGAAAATTTATGATTTCAGTACCGATTGAGATTCTTCAATGTGTAAAAGTGCTTTCGGCATTTTCTTTATACATATTCAGCTGTACGTACATTTGTCTCACGAGCGACATTTTTCGACAGGTTACTGAAAGCGGGAAACAAGAAAAGCATCTGGTGGCAACTGTAGGCAAGTTCAGTGTGATATGGAACTTCCATCAGGTGAAGAACAGTGCCCATCACTGTTATCAGAACCAGCAAGGCCTCAAGAGCTGCTATTGCTACAAGATTGTACTGAAAGACGAGTCCATAATCGAGAGCCGGTTTATGCACGACAAGTTTGCGCTCGACAATTCACCCGAGGCCCCTTTGGTTGTGGCCACCCCAATGAAAGTCACTTCTTTCAGCATGTCTGGTGGCAAACGGTGAATGCCTTTTAGGATAGAGCTTGCGTTTGAGTTTGGATTTGGAGAATGGAGTCTCTATTTCTTCGTGGGTTTTTGTTTGCTGAATAAGATTATCTTGTATACAACTTGTTTTGTTTTCCAGCACTAGTTGGCTTTTTTTTTTTT